ATATCCCAGCCCCAGCTCTTTGAAATGTCCTTGCAGGCAAAGACCTAGCTCATACACAACTGCAGAGGTTTTATTGATGGGGGGGGCACAGGGTTGAGTCCGGAAGGCAATGGTGGGGCCACTGGGCCAATCATGCAGGCTGTCCATGTTCAAGAGGAAGTCCCTACACTGGCCCCGCTCCCTGCTGCATCCTCTTCATCAGCTCCTCATCCTGCATGGAAAGCTCCGTCAGTTTCTTGCCCATGCGCTCGTGGATGTCCAGGTACTTAGAGACGCAGCGGTCCAGGCACACAGACTCCCCCTTCGAGAGCTCTGCCTCCTTGTAGTGGGGCGGGACACACTTCCGGTGACAGGCGTTGGTCATTCTGGGCCACAGAGGGGGAGAGCATGAGAATTCACAGATGCCCCTGTGACCCCAGTCCTGCCTCCTCCCCACAGACCCCTCTACTATCCCAGCCCTGAGTTCCCCCCACACCCTGCCCACAGTTCTGCCAGTGCCCCTGAATCCCAATCCACAGCCCTTGCTATTGCAGTTCTGGGCTCTGCCAATTCCTCTCAATCCCAACCCATGGCTTCAACTTCCAGCCATTGGATCATATTAGACTTTTCTCTCCTAGACTGAACACCCCATTATTAAATATCTGTTTCCCACGTAGGTACTTACCAATTCATCAAATCATCACTTAACCTTCTTTTGGTTATGCTAAAGAGATTGAGCTCCTGGAGTCTCTCACTAGGAGGCATATTTTCTAATCCTTTAATTATTCTTGTGACTGTCTCCAATTTGCATCTGAAGAAGTGAGGTTTTTTACCCACGAAAGCTTACGCCCAAATAAATCTGTTGGTCTTTAAGGTGCCACCAGACTCCTTCCAATTTAGAGGAAGACAATGGTCCCCGCTGGCTTTCAAACCTATGACACCCCAGCACGCCGCACTCTGGGGAGCTGCGACCCTGCCCTTGACAAGGAGCAGCCGCAATGGGGTCGTTACCTGTTGTACATGTCGGCCATCATCTCCACCTCCAGCTCAGCTGCCAGCTGCTGGGCCCTGAGCGGATCCATCGCACCGCGAGCGAGCACCGAGTCCCCGGCGTTTGGGGCGGGAGGCAGCGACTTGCTCCTGGAAACACACACAGAGCCTGTCAGAGCTGCCACTCCCACCCCCCAGTGCAGTACCCCACACCCCCAGGGTGGCAACACCACTTCCCAGGGCAGCCCCCCAGTGCAGTCCCCCCCACGCCCCCACGGTGGCAACACCACTTCCCAGTGCAGCCCTCCAGTGCAGTCCCCCCCTCCCCCAGTGCAGCCCCCCCCACTCCCCAGGGCAGCCCCCCACCCAGTGCGGACACCCCGACACACTCCCAGGGGGCGCCACTGCCCAGCCGGGCCAACCGACCCCAGACAATGCACTGGGGGGGGCACCGTGGGGGGGGGGGGCACGTCCCACGCCTCAGAGCTGACCCCCCCCCGGGCCTCTGTGCGGGGACCCCTCACCCTCCGCGCTCCTCGGGCGATCACTGAGCCCCGCGGTCAGGGCTCAACAGCCCCCCGAAGTTACACCGGCCCCTTTTTCCTGGGTGTAACGTGACTTTCCCCCGCCAGCCGGAAACACGTGGGAACAGGCGCTTCCGGCATGATGGGCCCCTCTCTCCTCCAAGGTACCATAGAGTCCGGGGGGGGGGGGAAGAGAACCACTTCCGGTATGTGGCGGACTCAGCTACCACAGAGTTACCCGCAAAAGAGCGGGAGGAACTACGCAGGAGACTAGAGGGGCCGGTTCCAAACCATAGAGATGTGCCTGGACTGGAGCTAGAGCGGAGAGGAGCTGACGCCAGAGGAAGGCGGGGAACCCAATTAGAGCATAGAGCGCGTGAAGGACCTAGGCTAGAACATACCGGATGGGAAACGGGATGATGGGCGCAGCCATGTTACCATGGAGATCTAGCTGTTGCTAGACAAGCTAGGATGTCTAATGAGCCTAGACTAGGGGGTTCATTGTGAGGGCTGTCAGGCAGTGGGGTAACAAGGGTTGTGGGGTGGGGGTTCATTGTGAGGGCTGTCAGGCTGTGGGGTAACAGGGGCTGTGGGGGGTTCATTGTGAGGGCTGTCAGGCGGTGAGGGGTTCATTGTGAGGGCTGTCAGGCAGTGGGGAGTTCATTGTGAGGGCTGTCAGGCAGTGGGGTAACGGGCTGTGGGGGTTTCATTGTGAGGGCTGTCAGGCAGTGGGGGGTTCATTGTGAGGGCTGTCAGGCTGTGGGGTAACAGGGGCTGTGGGGGGTTCATTGTGAGGGCTGTCAGGCAGTGGGGTAACAAGGGCTGTGGGGTGGGGGTTCATTGTGAGGGTTGTCAGGCAGTGGGGGGTTCATTGTGAGGGCTGTCAGGCAGTGGGGCTGTGGAGTGACAAGGGATGTTGGGGATCAGGGGGTAGGGGATGATCACAGTGGGGGCCAGCAGACAGTGGGGCTGTGCTGTTATTTGCAGTATTCCTCCAGAATCCGCTGTACCTGGAGCAGGAACAGGACAGGAGCAGAGCTGCCAGAACCCAGAAACAGCCTGTACCATCATGCTGGGCACCACCAGCCACTCTCTCCCTTTGACCCCAGGCAGCACCTCCCGCCATGGGCCCCTGGAGAAGCGGCGGCACTGCAGTGTGGCACCTGGGACCGATCCCACAGCCAGCGGGGCTGGAGCAGACCCTGCCTGATCGCCCCCGAAACACATCACAAGAACATGCCCTACCCTGGCTGCCAGTTTTACCACCTGCCCACTGCTTATGAATGCCCTGGGCTCAGTGTCCCTGTGGTGGTGCCTGTCTCTTCTACTGCCGATTTTACGTGGAAAGGGGCCTCTGCCTCTGAGCCAGTGACGGTCTGAGCCACCTGCTAAACAGAGCCAGGCAGCTCGTCCTAGGCAGTGTGTGTGTCCGGATTGTCACACCCCACCACCATATTACACACGGGGAAATTGAGGCACAGAACGAGGCAGGGACTTGCCCAAGCTCAGAATCAGGACAGAACCCAGCTCTCCTGACTCCCAGTTCCCAGCTCTACCCGCTGGAGCACGTAGCTTTTGTCTTTAGAAGGGAGGCAGTGCCACAGTTGAGCCTGAGATGCCAGGGGAGGCAGGGAACGGCTGCAGGGGAGCCACCCAGGGACCTGGATTAGGTGGGATCTACCCCGTCTTTTCCTTCTGCCCCATGGATGATGCCCACGTGACTGCCTAGCGCCCCAGCATCTGGCTGGGTTGGCGTGCCAGGCCCCAGAGCTGCACTGGGGACAGACCAGTACTACATTGAGTGGCCTGGATGCTCCACAGAGACATTCACGAGGATGGGGGAGGGGGGTAGTCTCCTTCCTGATTGGCTGCCTGGGCAGTGGGGAGCGATCCCCAAATCCCTGATGCTCCAGCAGCCAAGCGCCTGCATCTCACGGACTCAGGAGGGGGACCCTGCCCAGTGTTTGGGCACCCCTTGCAGCCCACCATGGCTCTGTTAGCTCCAGCCCCGGGGTGCCAAGCTGGATGGCTGGTGCCCCCGGAGCAGGGGCAGTACCGTGAGCTGGAGAAGGGAGGGACTCCAGGTGCTGTCAGGGTGGGATCCTCTGTGGTTGTTTGTCCTTTTGCTTCACCCCCCATTTGCTACCTCTCAGCACAAGGGTCCCCTGCCAGAGATAGTGGCTGCACTTCCTGCCTGGTGAGGTCCCCCCATAGCCCCTCAGGCTCGTCCCAGGGGGTCTCACCCATGTGATCCTGGGAGAGTGGAGCTCCCCCTACCCCCGCCCCCGCAGAGGACCAGGGGAGCTGGCAGAGTGGAGGAGTATGAATGAAAGTGGCACCTGTTCCTCTCCTGGTAAAAATAGGCTGCGCTGCCCCGGGAGGGGGCTGTGCCAAGGGCGGTGACACAAAAAGCGGGACAGACGGGGACCGAGCCCAGAACCAGCCCGCCCTGTGGAGCAGCCAGCAGGTGGGTGCAGCCCTGGCCAGCACCCCTACTCCAGGGAGGGCCCAGAGTGGGGAGGGTGGGAAGTGGGGCATTGAATGAACCCCTCCGGTAGGTGGAGCTTGGTCAGGCTGGAGACACCCCCTGCCCTGGCTTATGGGGCTCAAGGTGCAGAGAGGGTCCACTGCCCATTGCCCTTGGCTCAGGATCCCCCAGAATCACCTCAACCCCCTTTCTTCTCTCAGGCACTGGGGGAGACCATCTGAATCAAAGGCAACTCGTGGGAGCCCAGGCCTGGAATAACAGGGGCTGTAGGTTGGGATTGAGGGGCACTGGCAGAGCTGGGGGGAGCCCGGGGTTGGGCTAGCAGGGAGAAGTGGGTCAAGATAGAGGGGCACCAGAAGAACTGGGGGAGTTGGGTAGCAGGGGGCAGCTGGGTGGGATTGGGGGGCACTGGAAGAACTGGGGGGAGCCTAGGACTGGATAACAGGGAGAGGTGGGTCAGGACAGAGGGGCACTGGCAGAGTTGGGGTGGAAGCCCAGGGCTGGGCTAGCAGAGGGTGGCAGGTCGCTATATAGGGGCACTGGCAGAGCTGGGGTGGAAGCCCAAGGCTGGGCTAGCAGGGGGTGGTGGGGTGGGATTGAGGGGCATTGGCACAGCTGGGGGGAGCCAGGGCTGGGCTAGCAGGGGGTGGTGGGGTGGGATTGAGGGGCATTGGCACAGCTGGGGGGAGCCAGGGCTGGGCTAGCAGGGGGTGGTGGGTTGGGACTGAGGGGCACTGGAAGAACTGGGGGGATCCCGGGGCTGGGCTAGCAGGGGGTGGTGGGTTGGGATTGAGAGGCACTGGGGGGATCCCGGGGCTGGGCTAGCAGGGGGTGGTGGGTCAAGATAGAGGAGCACTGGCAGAGCTGGGGTAGAAGCCTGGGGCTGCAGGCAGTTTACCACGGGGGGGTGGCAGGACCGCGGTTGGCGAGTCCCCCATTCCCTGGGTCTGGCAGAGCGGTAAATGTCAGGGGTATATTTAGCTGCTGAGGAGGGGGTCACCTGCCCCTTCCCCAAGGTGCCCTCCCCCACTGCAGGTTTGGTGCCTGAGTCAGAGTCCTGTTCCAGGCCCTGGAGATTGTTTCCCCCGGATGGGGGGTGGGGCACCTTGCTTTAAAGGGTCATTATCCAGCCTGGCCTCCTATTCCACTTGAAAGGGTTGACAGCACAGCCAGCCCCAAGGGCTCTCTCCCCGGCTGCCTCCCCAGCTCTCCTGGGTTTAGGTAGGTCCTACGGTATTTACTGCATAGTCACACCTCGCTGGTGTTGGCCAAGCTCATTGCATGAAGCAGGGGCACCCCTCCATACCCCCCCCACAAGGTCCCTGGGTTCAACCCTCCATTGCAGGGACACCCTGCAGCTCCCCCCCCACCGGGGGCTGTGTGTGCCCCCATTTCCTCTCCTCCCAGGTTTCCACAATCTCTCCCCCATACCAGGGCATCTGTGTGCTCCCCATTCTCCCTCCCCCCGCACACCAGGGTTCCCCAGTCTGTCCCCCATGTCAGGGGCTCTGTATGCCCCCCATTCTCCCCTCCCCCACACCAGGGCATGTGTGTGCCCCCCATTCTCCCTCCCCCCGTACACCAGGGTTCCCCAGTCTGTCCCCCATGTCAGGGGCTCTGTATGCCCCCCATTCTCCTCTCCCCCCCACCAGGGCATCTTTGTGCCCCCCATTCTCCCTCCCCCTGCACACTATGGTCCCCCAATCTCTCCCCCAGGCTGCATTCCCTTCTTCCCTCCCCCCCCCCCCCCCCCCGAAAAAGAACTGCATTGGAGTTGATGTAAGCTCCCCATCGCAGGCCCGACAATGCCATGGTATGGCCAGCAGAGGGCGACCGGATGCCTCCTGTCCCCCCCCAAAACTTGGCAATGGTGGGGCTCAGGGGTGGGGGTAGTCAGAGCCTTGGGGGGGATCTGGTAGGCCAATCCCCGGGCAGGCCAGTTGGGGGCCTCTCACAGCCCCGATCCAGGTCCCTGCTGCCCCCATCTGACCCACATGCCTCTTGTCTCCTTCCAGAGATGGAGGCACAGGAAGGCACCCTCCGCCCCAGGCTGACAGCAGAGGAGCCTGGGGCCGCAGCTAAGGAGGCTGAAGGGGTGGCTGGGAGTGGAGCCAAGGAGGCGGCTCAGGGTGGGGATGGGCTGGGGGAGAAGGGGAGAGCAGGGAATTCTGGGAGCAATGCTAAGGGGGGCGGTGAGGCCAGCAAAGCAGGGGATTGTGGGAGTGATGCTAAGGGGGACGTTGCGCCTGGGCTAGCAGGGGATTCTGGGAGTGATGCTAAGGGGGGCAGTGAGGCTGGGGAAGCAGGGGATTCTGGGAGCGATGCTAAGGAAGGCAGTGAGGCCAGCAGAGCAGGGGATTCTGGGAGCGATGCTAAGGGGGGCGGTGAGGCAGGGGGAGCAGGGGATTCTGGTAGCAATACTAAGGGAGGTGGTGAGGCAGGGGGAGCAGGGGATTCTGGGAGTGATGCTAAGTGGGGCAGTGAGGCCAGCAGGGCAGGGGATGCTGGGAGAGATGCTAAGGAGGGCGGTGAGGCTGGTGGAGCAGGGGATTCTGGGGCTGGGGCAGAGGAGAGGGCAGAGGAGGGGCAGGGGACTGGAGCAGAGGAGAGAGAAGCAGTAGGTGGGTCTGGGCTTGAGCCCCAGGACGGGGTTGGAGGGGCCGAGCCAGAGATGCAAGGGGCTGAAGCCGAGAGGACCAGCGGTGCCGTGGCAAGAGAGGTGAGTGTCCCTTTGGGTCAGATGGGGCAATGGGGGGAGGGAAACCCCCACACACCTCCCTAGGGAGCCAGCTTGCCCGGAAGGTGCTGCGGGTGCCCACGTGCCCTCCCTGATGCCATGGGGGCACAAGCATGCCCAGGCCATCGCAGGGAGCAGCTCCCAGGGCTCAGGATGGTCTGCGGGACTCAGCCCCAGTGGTAACCCCCCAGGGGAGGTGGGTTCAAATCCCACCTGGGGGAGCGGGGAGGCCATAGTGGGGGAGGACAGGAGCCGGGGCCAGCAGCGGGGGTCTGGGATTTGGGGGGCAGGGGCCTGTTAAAGGACTTTGTTCCCTCCCAGGGGCGTGGTGGGAGCACCTCAGAGGAGCCGCAGTCCCCAGAGATGGGGGGCGAGGAGGAGGAGTGGGGTGAGCCTGCACCTAGCTCCCCCGACGAGGGGCTGGCCAGCCCCACAGGGGACGCTGCCTTTGGGAAGGAGACTGGGGCCCCCCAGCCGGGTAAGGCCAATTGAATCGGGGAATGAGGGTGGGGGAAGAATATAGGGAGGGGACACCCCCTCACCATAGCCCCCCTAGCACAGCCCCCCCAGTCCCACTCCCACTCACACAGGGTCACCCCCCGAGCACAGCCCCCCAATCTCAGATACTCAGTTGAGCCCACTTTGGTGACTGTTTTTAATGTCAAAACTTTGTAAATTCCTTTCAGACGGTGCCTCCCAAGGCCGAGAAGCCGCTCCAGGTGGCAGCACCAGGTGAGAACACCCGCAGGGGCCCCAGTACCAGGATAAGGGACTCCTGCCCCTGGTGCCAGGCAGGGAGGTGGAGGCACACAGCCGGGGGTGGGGAGAGCCCCTCCAGCACAGCTCCACCTGGTGCCAGGCAGGGAGGTGGAGGCACACAGCCAGGGGAAGGGAGATCCTACCACCCCCCACAGCACACCGCCCCCTCTCTTCCTGGCCCATTCTCTGATCCACTCCCCATCTCTTCGCAGCACTGGAGGGACAGCCCAGCAGGACAGCGGGCAGAGCCCTGCACCTGAAGGAGTTGCGCCCCCCAAAGAGAAGCCAAAGAGACCAGCGCTGGATCGGAGGGAGTTGACCCGACCCCGCCTGGCACCCAGGGCCCAGTCCCGCAAGGCCCTTGTGGAGAAATTTGGGGGGTGCGCAATCCCCTATTAACCTCCCCCCTGGGGCTACGAATGGGCCGGCCTACACACAAGAGGGTGGAGCTTGGAGGATAGGCCCTGGTCAGTCAACCAATGAGGGGTGCTCAGTGCCATTAAAAAGCAACACGCCAAGAGAGGGTGTAGGGAGCGGCATCTTGTCACCGGTGGAACTCCCTGCGCCTGGACGTTAGGGATAAAGCGCTCGGGGCAGCTCTTGTGGCACCAAGGGTACCATGGGGGTTAACCCCTTCAGCTCCTGGCCCCGTGCAGGCTCAGGGGGCTGGTGGGACAGAGGGGGAAGGCCCAGAGATGGGGGAGGGAGGGGACCTGGCCAGTCACTGCCCCAGCTCTGGGGCTCTGCAGCAGAATGCGCATTGTCCCTTCTCCCTGTGACACCGGCCCCTCCATCCCCCCTGCAGGGCAGCCAGCGGCCCGGCCCCCAACATCAAGAAGACTGGAGGTGCCAACACCATCAAGAACATGCTGCTGGAGTGGTGTCGTGCCAAGACGCGCGGCTATGAGGTGAGAGGCTGGCAAGGGTGAGGTGGTGCCTGCTCTGTAGCCTTCCTCCCCTCGGACACAGAGAAGGCCCTAGTACGGGGGAGGAGTAGACACTAGCCCCCCCCACACACACACACACTCCCGCAATGACCCTGGGGATTGAGGGATGTCAGATGGAAGGGGCGGGGGCCCAAGGGTGCCTGCCATGCTCATAACTCAGCAGGGGCACAGCCAGCCGGGCACACTGCCACCCGGATCTTCGTGGGGGTGACTAGACCTGGCCCGGGGGGAAGATGGCAAGGGGAAGCATTGGGGCAGGCGGCTGGCCCAAGGGGTACAGCATGGGGGGGGGGGTTTCTACCATCCCCGGGTGAGCAGCTCTGCCCCAAGGCCCGGGGTCACAAGTGCTGACTACAACATGGAGAGTGCCCCCCTGCACCAGGCAGGCCTCCCCCATGCTGGGCAGAGCGCTGCCACCCATCCACTGTGGAGACGGCCAGAGAACATAGCCACCAGCTTTCTGCCCCAGCCTTTCTTCCTAGTGCATGGGAGGGGTGGGCAGCCCACGAGGGCGGGCACCCCCAGACCTTGCAGTGCCCACAAAGAGGCTGCTGGGGGGGAGGGAAGGCCCACCCAGTGCTCATGCGGCTGATTGGTTCTCCCTCCCTGTGCCCCTGTTCTGCTGCCTGGCTGCCAGCACGTGGACATCCAGAACTTCTCCTCCAGCTGGAGCAGCGGCTTGGCCTTCTGCGCCCTCATCCACAAGTTCTTCCCTGATGCCTTCGACTACGCGGCCCTCGACCCGGCCAACCGCAGGGAGAACTTTGCCCTGGCTTTTGCCGCTGCTGAGTGAGTGCACCCCACCCCCAATGCCCAGGCACCCAGCCCCACCCAGGGAAGGGCCTCTGCCACACATCCGACATGGGGCTTGGAGGCAGAGTAGGAATCTGCAGTTGCCCAGTAGGGGTGGGGCTGTGACACCAGGGAGGGGGAGGAGCCTGCACTGCCCAGCCCCACCCTCCCCAGCAGCAGGTGCTGTGACCCCAGGTGGGCTTGGGTGTAGCAGCCCACCTTATGTCAGCTGGTGTAGTAGGAGGCCCGGCTGGGTGTTGCATCCAATAATTGAGGCTGTTCACTAATTAGCGGTACTCCCTCTGCAGCTTGGCCACCCTGTGGCTCCTGGGAGCTCTGCCCTCGTCCCCAAACTCCCTGAGCCCAGAGCTCAGTGACCCTGACAGCACGGGCCCAGCCACGCAGCCAAACCCAACCAGGCCAGGGCACGGTCCTGCTGGGACAGGCCCGGAAGCAGCTCCAGGGATGCACCCTCTAGCCTGAACTGGACACCAAGCCCTTCTCTAGGGCACTAGCTCCGCGGTCCCCTCCCTTCACGACAGGCACATCCTGGGCCACTTCCTCTTTGCCCACTGGCATCAAACACTGCCTGGTTTGCAGAGGGGCCATGGCTTGGGACAGGAGGGAGGGGAGGCCAGTGGGACAGCCATGCCCAGGGGACACATAGAGCAAACCAAGGGCCCCGGGGCCGAGTCGAGCGCCCTGGCCGAGGGCAGCGCTGCTGTGCTGACCCCTGGTCTCTCGCCCCGCAGGCAGCATGCCGATTGCGCCCCACTGCTGGAGGTGGAGGACATGGTGCGCATGAGCGTCCCAGACTCCAAGTGCGTCTACACTTACGTCCAGGAGCTGTACCGCAGCCTGGTGGACAAGGGGCTGGTGAAAACCAAGAAGAAATGAGGTGGGGGGAGCAGCTGGCCGGGGAAGCAGAGAGCGCGCCAGGCGACGTGGGTGAGGATGGGCCGCCCCGACATTCAGCCTGGCACACGGGGGCATGGGTGAGGAACAGCAGGGGGTGGTGCCGGGAATGGGAGCACTCTACATGTTCCATCCTCCCTCTCACTGCTCACATGGGAGCAAGGGACGTCTCAGTGCCTGGGCATCACCTCCTCCCAGAGGGGCAGATTGGGCTAGCCATGGGGGGATGGGGTGCTGCGCCCACCTCGGCCCCTTCAGAACCTTCACCAAGGCCCAGAGTTCAACCCCACCAGGACATCACCATGGCCCCTTTCAAATCACGGGTTGGGGGGAGAGGGGAGGGGTGTTCTCTCTGCAGGCCCATGCCGGATGGGGCACCTCCATCCCTGCCCCAGTCAGCCTAGCCCAGCGCCTGGCTGAGCTGGGCGCATATGTCTGAACACTCCCATGGGGGCAGGGCAGAAATGGGCATGGGTGGGGAGGGGGTTTCCTGCTTTGGAGAAAAGCCTTGCCCCCCCACCCCACAGCATGATGGGGAGGAGCTATCCCCTCCCTCCCCCAACCTCCTGAGCACCGCCCCTGTGGCGGTCCCCTCCATGAGGTGGGGGGGTCCGGCAGGGCAGGGCAGCTCCAGGGGCATCTTCTCTCCCCTGCCCAAGGTAAGGAAGAAGGCATGGGGCGGGGGGGTCATAACAGATTCTTTCCAGTGGCCTCTTTTCAACAGAGCCCCTCCCCCCCAAGCCTGGTTCTGCCTCGTGCCCAACGATCGGCGGTGTAGCCCACTGCTCGGCAGACCAGCTAGGGGCAGGATACCCGGTCCTCGCCCCTGCCCGCTCTCCCAGCCCCCGGAGTCCTTGGTTGAGGCTGAGCAAGCTTCCAACAGGCGCCACCAACGCCTCACTGGGGTGTGTGGTAGCTGGCAGGGACCCCTCCAAGGCAGAGTTCCTGAAGCAAGGCCCCCCCCAGGCATTCGACCCCCACAACACCTGCTGCTCCTCTCCCAACAGGTCTGTCCTGGAGCTCTCCCCCAAAGTGGCATCTCCTCCGCTGGTAACGGTTCACAGCCACCTCCTGCCTGCCCCCTTCCCAGCCCGCGGCTCATGTGTGCACACGAGACCCTGACAGATAAAGTAAAGCAGAACTGCTCCAAGCTCAGGCAGACGCCGGGCGGTTTCTTGTGGTTAGCTCGGGTAGGTCGAGGGCTCCATCAGCGCCGGCCACATTCCTCGGCCAGGGTGCAACAGATGTGGCTGTGGCTGCAGCCCAGACAGGAGCGATGCCCATCAGCAGCAGGAAGTCGCCTCTGCTCCTCGCCAACGCCAGATGAGCACATTTCACCATAGGGCTGGGGCCAGCATTCCTCGTGGATCCAAGCTGGCAGCGGGCGCCTGGAACACGTCTTTGGCTGGCCACAGCAGGGGTGGTTCTCCTGGCACTTCCAGGGTCCATTAGAACCAAGCGCCCGCACTCAGGGCTACCCCCACAGCAGCTGCCCGGCTCCAAGTGACAGTGAACCAGGGCTGCCTTCCTGCTGGTGCCAATGTGACACCCAGCTGGGTGCCAATTATCTTCCAAGCTCTGAAGGGCCTTGTCCAAATGCAGGCCTCTGCTCTGGGCCTTGACTCAGCTCCGCCAAGCTGCCAGATCCCGCAGAGGGCCTGGAAGTCATAGGCTTGAGCACAGACCCCCGCCCCCTTCCAGCCCGTAACTACAGCCCTCGTAGCTCTGTGCTGCCCTCTGGTGGCAAAGTCTTGCTAGCTCTAGAACATGGATGGTGCAGACGGATGACGGCACCAACAGCAGTCACTTCCTCCAGGTCTAGGGCACAAGGCAGCAACTGCTCAAGGGCCATCTGAGCTGGCCCTGAGGTGACTTGCGGTTAGGACAGGAAGTGGAGGAGTGGACCATACCAAGGGAGGAGAGAGAGAGGCAGGGTGTGATCACTCAAGCTGGCAGGGGCTCTGACACACCCGCCTGTGGGATTTTTAATGGGCACAAAGACCTCAGTTTTATGTCCCCTGGGAATGCAGCTTCCCTCCCCGTGCTGTCTGGGGGGGCCCTATAGGGTCACCCATATGGCTTTGGCAGCTCTCAGCTGGGCAACTCCATGGTCTGACCCTCAAGCCAGCCCATGGTAACTGGGGAGAACGGGAGGGAGGGCTGGGGGGAGCTGGCTAGGAACAGCACCCGGCTCCATGGGAACAGGCTGGCCCAGTGCGCCGGGACAGGACCCAGAGCCCTTCCCCTCCAGTGCAGAGCAGGGGGTGGGGGGGAGGAGGGAGATCAGAATGGTTCATCCTCAGGGCATCTGCTCCAATCCCACCTCAAAGAGAAAGAGTCTAGAGATATTCCGAGGTCCCCAGGGAATGGCCCCACACCACGGTGGGGCAGGGAAGGCAGCTGCCTGGAAAATCATCCGAGGGGGGATCGGCACATGGGAGCAGAGGGATCACGGTTCATTTTTATTGATCAGAAAAAGGAAGTTATTTCACACACACACACACACAACACACACCCCCCCCAGCCGACAAACAAAGGGGCTATTTTAAAAAACATTTCTCATCACACTATTACAACCCAGAATCACCCTCCAGCCTGATACCCCCCTCCCCTGCCCTTCCCTCCCCCAGCCCCAATCACCTGCCCAGCTGCAGGCATCACTTCCTGTCTGCATGGGCTGGGTGCAGGGAAGGCATTTGGGGCTGCTCTCTCCCCCCTCCGGTCTTTGCCGCTGAGGTTTTAAAGTGCCAGGCAACAAACCAAAACAAGATCAACAGTGGCAATGGGGTTCATGGCATAAAGCTCAGTGCCCAGGGAGCGGCCTTCGGCCCGACCACTCCTGGCAGGCCTGGGAGCCCCCCAGTGAAGACGAGGTGAGCAAAGGAGTCAATCAATGAAGGGAAGGGGAAAGCCCACATACCCAACTTCAAACCCCCCCAGGGCTTCAGTGCCCCCTCTTGGTTGAAGGGCTCCAACAAGTGACAACAGTGTTACCGTGAGGTGCTGGGTCCCCCCTTAGTCCGGGCAGGGGTGGGGCACATGCCCCAGAATTCCATGGGATGCATCGCCATGACAGCATGCAATGGTGGGAGGGACCACCTTGGCCCCACCCACTCACTAGACTTCACCCACTGAGTGCATAGGCACCACCCCTGCCTGGGACAGCGAGTCTTCCCCACCAGGAGCAGGCAGGGGGTGCCAGAGCAGGAGCAGGGTCACTCGCAGGGCCGCTTCTCGCTGAATTTGCGGGTGTGATCCTCAGCGTTGCGCAGGAACCTCTTGTAGTCGCGGGTGAATTCCTCGGCCAGGTCGGCACGCAGCGGGTGGCCCGGCTCGGGCTCGTTCACCAACGCGATCAGGGCCTGGATCACTGCACAGAGGGGCAAGGAGGGGGTCAGCACGGCACAGAGCAGGGCAGATTGTGCCTGATTCCCCACACTGGCTCCAGCACCCCCAGCCACCCCACAGGGTACCAGCCTCACCCACCCATGCTTCCCCCTGGCATTGCCACCTACCTCACAGAATAACAGCCTCACCCACCCGCACTGGTCCTGCCACACAAACTGCCGCATGCCGCCATCCTCACTCACCCCTGCAGCCACATCACTGCCACCCTTGTAACCCCCCAGACTCCACAGGCCCAGCGCTTCTGGGCAACATCCCCTCTAGCTCCCTGGAGGCGTGTACGTGCGGCAGGGGGGCATGTACCTTGATCCGTCTTGGTGGCGGGTTTCCAGTTCTCAGCGCTGATGATCGGCAGGCAGACCTGCCCCTTCTCGTCCACGTTGGGGTGGTAGATCTTAGTTTTGAAGGTGACCTTGGGGGGCTTGAAGGGGTACTCGGCTGGGAAGCTGATCTCGATTCGGAAAGCGCCTTTGTTGTAGGGAGGATTGTCCTGGTCATAGGGCAGGAGAGAGAGGGCAGGAAGCTACAGAGCCAGCAAACACTGATCCCTGGGGAGAACTGGGGGCTCCCCTCATCTGAACCCAGCACAGACCCCCTTGGGGCATGCAGCCCCTTCTGACACCCCTCCCCCGCATCTCCCAGTCCCCACACTCACCGGTACCAGGAGCCCTTTCCACAGGAGAACATTGGTGTCGTCCACCTCAATGTCCTTCAAGCAGCGGGACCCAGACCTCTTCAAGTCATCCAGCTCCTGCAGTAGGACAGAGCCGAACCATCAGTGACCACGCACCACCCCCACCTCAGAGCTGCCCCCCAATTGGCCCCAGCCTTCTGCTCCCTAAAATTGTCACCCCAATAGGCCTCAGATTCCCATTTCCCCAGCAAGCCTCATCCACCCCCATGTAGCAGCACAAACCAAAGCACCAGTGGCACCAATTCAGAGCTTTCTTCAGGGGTGGGAGAGGGGAGAATTCCAGTTCCTGACACACACACACACACCAGGAACCTGCTTGTCACCCCCTCCACTGGGTAAATGTATAAGTGCAGTTGTATGACAAGGCTGCTTGTGATGGTAAGGACTGGGTTCAGCAGCCCTGGGGCTCAGTTCCAGTTTATGTCCTGTGTTCCTGATGCTTCAGGGTTTCAGCCACAGCCACCCGCAGGGGTCAGGAAGGGATTTCTCTCTATGTATTCTGGAAGGGTTTTTTCTCTCCTTTGAAGCATCAGGGATGGCCACAGCTGGAGATGGGACATCAGGCGGTCGGGCATCTACCATTCTCTCTCAGAGGTGCTTGGCAGGCTGGATCCTGCTCGCATGCTCAGGGTCTAACTCAGGGGTGGGGAACCTTCGGCCCACGGCACCGCTTGCTGGCCCGCGGGGTGGAGGATTGCCAGGCTGTTAAAAGTCTGGTCGGCTCTGCGCAGCAACCGGAAGCATGCCCCTGTGGCCCCTAGGCACAGGGGTGATCAGGGAAACTCCGTGTGCTGTCCTCACGCCCGGCGCTGACTCTGCAGCTCCCATTGGCCGGGAACCACGGCCAACGGGAACCACAGCCTTTGGACAGAGGGGCAGCCAGGCCAAATCTGACTGGTACTGTGACCCTGTGCGCCAGGTTGCAACATCACTTGCTGAAACGTGACCTGGCCACCCTCCCGTCAGGACGGAGGGGCAATCGGGGCAAATATGAGCACTGCTCCGGCAGCAGCTGCACTGATTTAGTACAGGATCACTGCTTAAAAGTGGTCGGCCATGGCCCCCCGGCTCTGGGGAGTACGGAGCAAATGCAAACACCCCTGGGGCGGCGTTCACCCATCCCCTGAAGCTCCCGCAACTGGCACCACTGCGAGACACCCTCCCTCGCCCCACAACAGGGCCACAGCAACCAGGGCCTGAGCTGGGTTCTGCCCATCTCTGCAGCTGGCCCAGAATCAGGCACATTTCTCAGAAACGCCTTGAAACTGGAGGGCGGGGCAAACTCACTTCCTGCTCCCAAAGGCAAATAAACAACAGAGCGTCCTGCTGCTAGCAACCTAGCAGTTCCCCTCCCCTAGTGGGGCAACCTCACTCCCAGGGACAGGAGGGTTACCCAGTCCCCCCCACCTCACCCTACTCTAGGGCTCCCCTCCCCGTGCCTCCAAGAGGCGGGATGTCTCCCAGATCAGGTCACTCTCAGCCCGCATCCATCCTCACCCTGCACCTTTGGTTTCCGAGAAACCAGCCAGGGACTTTCCCAGGCAGCAGCTATAGAAAGTGAAAGCACCTGCCTGGCACTAGACATTGCTCCTAAAATTAACTGCTTCCTTTCCTCCTGCTTCATCCCCGCTTTGGTCCCGAATCCCCTCCTCCCCCATCCCTGCACAGCTCCCCCTCCATGGCAATCTGGCCTGGATCCTTTATAAAGCCGGCACCACCAGGGCCAGCGTGGGGCATTTGTCTGAAGTTGGCCAGGGCACAAAGGGTGAACTTCTGTGCCAGCCCCCATCACCTCGCCCTAAGGGGAATCCAGGGCCCCACTTTTTTCTGTAGGTCAGTCCAGCCACCCCACCCCCACCAGCGTGATTTTGATACGTTACAAGTCGTTTTTTTTCAATCTGGGTTTTATTCCCATCTGGTCCAGCCAGATGCTGACCAGAGTGGGAGACAACCCCGCCACCCCCCTTGCACAGGGATCACAGCTGCACCTTTGATCCGGCTCCAGGCACATGACAAGCAAAGGGCAGGGGCAGGTGTGATGGGATGCAAGGGGCGGGGGGGACGACACAGGAAGGGGTTAACCTCATTGCAGCGGGCCTTTGGAGCCACAGTGGGACCGGGAGTGCCCCCCATCCCATGGGGTGGCCATCAGAGACCTAGGGTGGGTCCAGCACCCCCCTGGCTAGCCAGGAGCACCCAAACAAAAGTGAAAGTAATGCAGAGCGCCCACCACAGCCTTACCTTGTACCCCACAACCAGCCCCCCCACACCCCCAGCCCCCCACACGGCCTCCCCCGAACTCACCCAGCCCCCCAACTCCTCCAGCCCCCCAACCCCCCAACCCAACTCGGTCCCGCCATCATCCTCAGCCCCCCCCTTCACGCAGCCCCCCCCCCATCACTCCCTGCCCCCCACCCTGTTTCCTCCCAGCCCCCCCGGGCCGGGGCGATCAGCCCGGCGGGGCTGAGCGGGCCAGAGACCCGGCCCGGCCCCCGCACCTTGCCCACTCTCCTGCTCGCCGCCATCTTCCCGGCCCGAGCCCAGCCCGGCCGGCTCAGCGCGGAGCAGCGAGTCTGCGGGGGGGCGGTGGCTAGAGCGGAGCCGCCCCCCGCCCCGGAGCACAGAGGGGGCGGGGCTAGAACGCTGCCTCTGCCCCGCCTCCTCGGGGATCGCAGGGGCGGGGCAAACGCCGGCCCGAGGGTCCCTTCGCTCTGCCGGGAGCGGGGTCAGGACAGGCTGGTCACTCCCCCCCCGCCTCCCTCGCAGCTCCGGGGGGCGGGGGGAGGCGAGGAGCAGGGAAGCGGTCAAGGGGCCTGGCCCCTGCTGCCGGGAACAGGGGTAGAGGAAGCCAGGGCCCCCCTCCGCCCCCAGTGTGCTTGGCCCCTGTCCCCAGCAGCCAAGCCCAGACCGGGAGCGAGCCCTGCCCGACTGCCAGGGAGAGCAGCCAAACGAGCAGGGGAAACGCACAGGGAAAGGACTGAGCCCCCCTTTCCCCCACCCCACATGTAACGTGGGGCGGGGAGAACAGGGGGGGTTGGATGGGGGCGGGGATCCCGGGAGCAGTCAGGAGTGGGGAGCAGGGAGGGTTGGATGGGGACCCCAGGAGGGGTGGTCAGGGGGTGGGGAGCAGGGGAGATTGGATAGGGGCAGGTATCCCGGGAGCGGTCAGGGGTGGGGAGCAGGGGAGATTGGATAGGGGTGGGTATCCCGGGAGCGGTCAGGGAGGGGTGGGGAGCAGGGGGGGTAGGATGGGGGTGGAGGTTCCGGGGTGGTAGATAGGGGGCCAGGCCACACCTTGCTGTTTGGGGAGGCATAGCCTCCCCCAGCCTTCCCTACCTGGCCCTCCATACAATTTCTGTATCTGATGTGGCCCTAGGGCCAAAAAGTTTGCCCAGCCCTGCCCCTTCCCCTGAGCCCTGGCTCATTATATTTCCCCCTCTCTCAGTGGCTCACTCTCCCTCACCCTCACTCACTTTCACTGGGCTGGTGCAGGAGGGGGTGGGACTGGAGATGAGGTTGGGGTGCAGGAGGGGGCTCCAGGCTGGGGGGTGGAGCCTAGGAATTCAGAGTGTGGGAGGGGTTGAGGCATGGGTTGGGGTGCAGGAGAGAATACGGGCTCTGGGCTGTGGGTGCGAGCTCTGGGATGGAGCCGGGGATGAGGGGCTTGGGGTGCAGGAGGGGGCTCAAGGCTGGGGGGTGGGGCCGAAGGATTTGGAGTGCGGTAGGGGGCTGCAGGTTGAAGCAGGGGTTTGGGGTGTAGGAGGGGATACGGGCTCTGGGCTTGGGGTGCAGGATCTGGGGTGGGGCCAGGGATGAGGAATTTGGGGTGCAGGAGCGTACTCCAGGTTTGTGGGGGGCTCAGGGTTGGGGCATGGGCTTACCTCAGGCAGCTCCCGGTCAATGGCGCAGTGGGGGGAGGGAGGGCTAAGGCAGGCTGCCTGCCTGTCCTGGCACCGCGCTGCACATGCCCTGGAAGCAGCCAAAGAAGTCCGGCTCCTAGGCGGGGGGGGCCAGGAGGCTCCACACACGGCTCTTGCCCCCAGGCACTGTCTCCCCCCAGCTCCCATTGGCTGGTTCCTCAACAATGGGAGTGTGGAGATGGTGCTTGGGGCAGGGGCAACGCACGGAGCCCCGTGGCCACCACCCCCAGGACCAGACCTCCTGGCCACTTCCAGGTGCAGCGCGGTGCCAGCCAGGACAGGTAGGGACTAGTCTGCCTCAGCCCTGCAGCACCACCAAATGGACTTTTAACAGCCCGGTTGGTGGTGCTGACTGAAAACCGGACACCTGGTCACCCTAGTTTCACCGTGAGTCTCCTGGAATCATCTCCGCAGCTCCCATTGGGGCCTTTGGGACTACCAGAATAGAAATAACGTACCACAGTGGAAAGTGAAGCCAAGAAGGAGTGGGCTGCGTAGCAGGGGTTAGCTGGGGAGCCAGCAAGTGAAGGAGTTTATTGTAAGACAGGGTGGTGGTGGCAGGATAAGGCCATTGTCTGCAGCTCTATTGTAAGGCCTAAAGCCTTCGGCTACAGCCCTTAGGTGAGAAGCAGGAAGTCACATCCTCACATTCCATCTAAATTACATTGAAACAATGTCATATCAGGCTGTTAAGAAGGAGACCCACTATCACCAGATAAAGAAACAGATCTTAAGCTGGCTAAAGAAAATGTAGTTTGATAGCATTCTGTCTGGCAAGAAATCAGGGTTGGAAGGGACCTCAGGAGGTATCTAGTCCAACCTCGCTGCTCAAAGCAGGACCAATCCCCAACTAAATCATCCCAGCCAGGGCTTTGTCAAGCCTGACCTTAAAAACCTCTAAGGAAGGAGATTGCACCACCTCCCTAGGGAACCCATTCCAGTGCTTCATCACCCTCCTAGTGAAATTTTTTTTCCTAATATCCAACCTAGACCTCCCCCACCACACTCCTGGTTCTGTCATCTGCCACCACTGAGAACAGCTGAGCTCCATCCTCTTTGGAACCCCCCTTCACGTAACTGAAGTCTGCTATCAAATCCCCCCTCATTCTTCTCTTCTGCAGCCTAAACAATCCCAGTTCCCTCAGCTTCCCCTCATAAGTCATGTGCTCCAGTCCCCTAATCATTTTTGTTGCCCTCCGCTGGACTCTCCACTTTTTCCACATCCTTCTTGTAGTGTGGGGCGCAAAACTGGACACAGTATTCCAGATGAAGACTCACCAATGCCGAATAGAGGGGAATGATCACGTCCCTCGATTTGCTTATCAATAGTTGTGGTTGTGAAATCCTCATTTCTTTATTGTTTTGTCATTATGGTCCCCACTTCCCTATTGTTTATCTGTATGGTCTCTGTCCAGTTCTTTTCTGTCTGTTACATAATTAATTTTGCTAGGCGTAAATTAATTAAGGTGGCGGGGTAGGATTGGTTAAAGAATTTTGTTACACTATGTTAGGATTGGTTAGTAAC